TTTAATTGAATTTAAAGAACCAACACTGACATGCGTCAAAATGAAAATAAAAGAGCACAAATTTCTATGTAAAGCAAAACTTTCTGGGAAGACAATAGGTTTGTTCGTCGAAAATCCAGCGAGAATTATCACTAAAACTATCAGATAGTAAGGAAAAATTCTCCCAAATTCTCTCTCAAGCAGAGAAACTTGCAAATTTGTGCACGAAGGCAAGATTGCAGGAATTTGCAAGTTTCCCTGCCAGTTAGTCTCCTCGTTTGCATTTCTAGCATAAGAAATTTGCATAGAATTTTTCAAATTCTTTCAGAGGAGCAAAACAAAGGATCTACAGGTAAATTTTGTGTTAGTCCGACTTTCTTCAACATACATTTCAATTTCTTTGTCGTAGTAACTGTCGAAGTTTCCTATGTCGACTCTGGTTGTGATTGCATTCCGATTACAAATAGAGTTATTTTCAGCCGAGTACCTTTCAAATTATTAAAATTAACTAAATGGATTAAGTAAACAAGTATTTACTTACATTTTTCGTTTCAAAATCGCTCAAGTTTGTAAATTTTAAAATTTAACGAACTTCTTTATTCAAAGTATCGTCGACGAAAAATTCAACCATGTGCCACAAGTATATATTTTTCCTAATTGCAAATTCTTGCTGGCAAAATGTTTCCAGCTTGAATGTGAAACTTCTCTCCAAGAACTAGTCTTTCTACTTGTGATTTGTTTAAATAAAACATGTGGAATTTAGTTGAAACAGTTTAGCCGTTTTTAGCCGGATTTTTTTGTCAATTTAGCCGGTTGGTCCAAAAGGTTCTGGCAACACTGGGACAAGCTTCTTATCAGTAGCGTGTAACCAAAATAGTAGTGGTATTCGCGCTTCTGTGTATTCGATGTATCCTGCGTAAGTGTAACTGGAAGAGCGTGTGGTTGTTGTTGCATGTGTATTTGATGTACCGCTAGCAACAACAAATCACACGCTCATGCAGTTACGATTACACAACCTACAACGAATACACATAAGAGCGAATTCCCCTAGTATGTAAGCACATAAGATACACATACAACCATATATGTGTATTAGGAATATATATATGTGTGTGTCTGTATATAAATGTACTGGACAAACTGCGTTTGGCTAGTCAGAGATAGGAATAGTTTTAAGTTTTCTATAAATAAAGGCTCCGCGCAATCGGAGCGTCAGTGTCCTTTTAATTTACAGTGACTTACAGCCGCACTCAGAAACGTTC